CYWMSGGRAAAAAAACTCTTTGGGGAAAGGGCAGGAAGAAGATAACTGCTTTTGTTTTGTAATTAGGACTGCACAATATTTAGTTGGCTTATCTAAGGTAGAATAAGCCAAATGCACATTATATCTTCAATGTTCTTCATTCCACCTGTTACTGTTGTGATCTAATCAGCTGAGCAAGACAATGATCTGGTTTTATAGTTTATTCCTCAAGAKTCATTGGTTTTGTTTCTTYATGGCGAAGGGAAATGCAGCAAAATCAGCTGCAAGTGGATTAATCTGTTTCTTGGGTATAAACAGAGTAAATAACAACAAGGTGGTTCCAGAGAACRGTCAAGAACTGAGAACAGTCCTTAGGTCTGATCCAGTGTGGTGACCATACAAACCAACCAGGAAACTAAAGGACAAAGGTGTAGGAACAAGCCACACGAATGAAAATGTTTCCTAAATATTTCCCCTCTTCTTCCCTCAGGTAAAATGGCAAAGAACAAACAAAAAGGCAAGAAACCGAAGAACGTCTTTCAGGTGGCAAACAAGCATTTGAGGAGTAAAAACAAAACCAAACCGGTCACAACGGCTTTAAAAAATGTAAGATCTTTTATTTCTGCATTTTAGTTGTCTCCTGAGTTGTGCACATGCAGTAAACATCCACTCACACACAAGGTGTAAAACAAACTCAGTTTAATCTCACTTCAGCGTGCTTTGTGTCCTGGCAGATTAATGCAGTGACAAAGGAGAAGGTGGAGAACTTAAATCAGATGTTTGCAGAAGTCCAGCAGGATGTGAAGAACGTGTCCAAGTCCGGTCCTCTTGAAACGAAGAAACAAAAGCAGGTAGAGGAAACCCACGTTTCATATTTAGACATTCTTTTTTAAACTGGTAATAATGCAAACGTTTTATGCTCTTTTTAGGTCGTTAAGGAGCCACCGAAGGAACCGGTAAATGTTGACAGCGCTGCTCAGCTGTTCTCTCAGCTTTAACAAACAAAAAAGACTCATTAGCAACTCATTTTACTTCCAAAGGAAGTAAAGCAGATAAAAAAATAAAAAAAAAACCTCCAGAAACGCCACTATGGTAAAACTTAAGACATCTGAAATTCACTTCAAACATGATGGTTGAAGATGAATGGGTTGTGTTTGTTCAAAGTGTTTACTTTTCAGGGCCATTAAAGGTAGATAAAGTTGTTTTTTTATTGTAACTGTAAATAATGTATTAGTAATTAACATACAAATTTTAAAGTAAGCAATGTATTTAAAGGAAAAACCAACTCACATTTTTATGAATAAARTACGAGAATATGCTGAACTAGGAAAGTGGTCATAAATGATTTGTTGTTTGCTGTTATGAATCTAGAAGAAATATATTTTTAAATACTTTGATAAGCCTGAGCGCCTTTAGAGTTTTCATCACAAAATGTTAGATTATTATTTATGATGGGTAAGAATTATTACATTTACATTTTAAGTCAAAATTGTAATTCAGTTAGATAAAAAGTCCAAATTATTGAGAGACTTCAAGTTGGGTTTAGATCGTCATTTGTATAAATCTATCTGTTTTACTTGATTGTTGAATGAAATTAACATTTAACAATGTTAATGCATAAAAAAGTGACAGTTCCAKTTAAGCTYRCTGTTATTCTAAWAGTTGCTAWAGYGGCTGTGAGCTGTCRCCATTTTTGCTCCATGTTGTCACAGGTGCAAGCAGGACAGTCTGGTGTTATTTCACTCTATGATCCCACCTCCTGACAGTTGACTGTCGGTGACGCTGCAGTTTGAACTTTTTGGTTATTGTGCGTGTTATGCAATGATTCAAGCTTTTCCGATACTTTGTATATCTCGTTTTGCAAAAACGTTATGTGCAAAAGAAAAAAAAAATCTCCTGAACTTCATGTGGTTTCTGTCCTTAATGAACTTGAAGAAAAAGTATAGATATTTTTATTTTATTTTTAGGCTCTGCTTGTGAGTTATCAGTATTCTACTGCTGAGTTCTTCTGGAGCTATTGACATCAGAGGTGATGGGAGATCCAGCGCCCTGCTGATTGCTTCTCTCCATGGGGACCTTTGACAGAGTTAGCTGGTCAATAAATTTAAAAATGGCTTGAGAAAGACTCGTCAGCAAACCTGTGCTCTGCTGCTTTAAATAATGAAATGAGAAGTGGAAAAGACAGCAGAAACACGTGTTTGAATGATATTTATTTTCTGCTGAGGTGGACTTTTATTTTATTTTTTTTTGCAGTTTAAACCTACTAAAATTAATTCCCTGAACCTGTGGGTGGTAATCAAAAGTTTTATATTTTTATCAATAACATTTGTCAAAATAGGCTGTTTTTTTAGTATTAATGTTTATTTTATTCTCACTTCTCAGTTAACACATAAAAATGACTGACGGTTTATTCTGCTCAGATTCAGTTTTTGTAAAAGTTATATAAGAAAAAAAATCCTCATCTTTATTTTTAACTTCAGTTGTGGAAATTCMCAAGTGTGATTGACACTGGTAAGACATCSCCCTGGTTTCTGACTGGGAGCAGTKTATTTCTGCAAACGGCAGTAGGACCACTGGGAGGAGCCAGAGGAGATTTATTTTTATTTTCACAAATTTTCTGTTTCATTTTCTACAGTCAGGCTAGATGAACAGGTTTTTAAACGTATTTTGTGCATATTTGTTCAAAGTTGCATGCTACAGTTTTAATATAAGTCGCCACTACAACACGTTGCACAAAGCTAAATATGAAAATTTACTGAAGTCCAAAGYACATAAACAAGAGCAACATTTTACCAGAACCTCAACCACGCAGGAGTCTTCAATACGTCTTATACCGCTGCAGCTCCCTAGTGTTTATTTTAGTTTGTTTCAAACGATTCATATCAGATTTGTTAAACAAAACTGTTTTAATTGCATAAACATACATGAGGTTTTGAAAATATGAATTTATACATAAAAATCACCAAAACCATTTCAGTAATTAAAACTTTGTTTCAGTTCTTATTTCCTTCCCTTTTACAAACAAAAGTTTACAACTCTTCACTTTACTTTTCGATCGTTTTGATAAAGAGATAAAGATTGAATGTGAGAGAGGGGAGTAGGGGGGCGGGGCTAGGCTTGGCTTGGAAGGAAGAAAGTGGGGTTTTGAGGAAAATAGGTTTGGAAGCACTGAGTTAAAAGATGCTACAATGCAGTTCAAAGTGGGATAGTTTGGCTTTATTTGCCATCACGTTTCACGCCTTTCACAGAATAATWTAGTTAATCTTTCATCCAAAAGTAACAAGCAAAATACAACTGTAAGTTTGGAAGWGCACCTGCAGGAGTCAGATGGATGCTATGAAGATGGAGGCAACTCGTAAGCAACGACACATTTCCTCTGATCAACTCCTTTTGACTGTTTTATTYCCTTTTTTTATTATTCTGATGGAAAGGGGGAAAAGGTGGAACCGACTTGACGAGGAGAGTCGAGCAGATGCAGTGTTAAGGTGTCAGCCTGTGAGCAGGTGCTTCCCACTGTGATCCAGATGGCAGCACCAGAGCACAAGCAGTGGGGGTAACACCACTTTACGCCCCAGGGGGAAATGGGTTTTATGCCAGCGCACGTACGAATTGGATTTTTAATCTACATGAGGCGGGTGGGGATGGATCTGTATTTGTCATGCCAAAAGAGTGTTGTGAGTCACTGTTATGGCTCCAAGTCATGAACAAAAACACTAAAAATGTTCTGCTGTTTTAAAACTTCTGCCTTTGATCCAGCTTCCAAACTTTAACRCYRGAAGMTTTATTGAAAGGAAGCTCAGTAACTCATCACGCCTCAATAAAGAATRTGTCAAACCTTGGATTACCTCTGTATTTAAAAAAAAACAACTGGATGGGTTGATGTCATATTATATAACTACATAGCACATTATAACTTTCCAATGATGTTTTATTAAGGCTAATTTATCTGATGCTTCAATGGACAAGAAAAACATTAATACAGCAGGTAAAATAAGTATTGAACATGTCACCATTTTTCTCAGTAAATATATTACTAGAGG